CTCCCTTTGTCATGTACAGCCTGATCAAACGAAGGAAAAAAAAAAGTACACTTTCTTTTGCATTAAAAAAACAAGCAGACCATCAGCGGCCACGCCCGTGGGGCAGTGGGCAGGACGCTGGTGACAGAGGGTGAAACACTGTACGGGGCAGGGCAGTATTATGTGGCCTAGGTGGAACCAGCCGTGGATGGTATCATCGGGGCCGGCCGGTACAGTGCCGGGATAGCGGGTGAGATGCTACCTCGGCTGGTAGCACAAACGGCAAAATAGCCGGAAAAAAATGAATAAACGAAAAAAACAAAAACAAAAAAAAAAAACACCACAAAAAGAAAAATAGGAGCAAGCGGCCTAGTTCAGTTAGCTAGGCACGCAAGTGGCATTCCGGAAGTCAAGGGTTCAATCCCCACTGACCACCTGGGCATGCTTGGTGCCAACCAACTGAGATAGTTGGGTTTGCTTCCCCCCGTCGGGATTGGTAGGGTCTTTGGCCATCGCGGGCGTATAGGTGTGTGGGAAGAGCGGGGGGGGGGGGGGGGGGGGGGGGGGGGGGGGGGGGGGGGGGGGGGGGGGGAATCAGAAATCAAATCAGAGAGTAATGCAGAAAGATTTCCACATCTTGTGTCAATGCCGGGCATAAAACAGTTTACTATCCATGGAATGAATCAGGAGTGAATCTGGTCGATTATGCCATTAAATACATCCCAACCCAGCATCAAAACTCCTATACAGAAGATGACCAACCCCAGGTGCCCTACCTCCCTTTCCTGCCAAGCACGCTCCCAGTACTTGGACAAATAAACGACACGGTGTCACATGTCCCAGTCTTTCCATCGAAAACGTATTAAATAATTTAAATTAATATTAATGACAAAAAAATGCCACACAAATCCAATGTCTCTTCTCGCGTGTAACGTCACTTATCCAGTTCGATCAATCATCAATTGTTTTGAATTGTGTTTTTTTAAACTTTTTTTTTTTTTTTCTTAAACAAATCTGATCAATTCTTTTGCTGAATTTTTATTTCTTTTCCCACACAGCTGAGCAAATTGTTGTTGAAACTTTGAAACTCTTTTTTTAATTTTTAATTTTATCCAGTTTGATCAAATATGATTTAAATTTTGAATTTTTTAAACAAGTTATTATTTATATATATCGTCACATATACAAACTTAGCTAGTATTCTCACAAGGATGAGGGATGGAGGGAGGGAGGGGAGGTAGAGAGAGAGAGAGAGTCTGGTGCTTACCTCAAACATGAGAGACTCGATTTGGGAGTAATAAAGATTGGCAGCCATAAGTCGGGACAAGAGACACACATCTCGAGTAACCGACGCCGTGACATTCGGATTACCTGCAAATGATTGCCAGAGATTTTATGAAATTGGTCACACAAATGATTAAGTATAATGAAAATTTGAAAATGATAAGAAAAATGAGAAACTCAGACTTGATTTCCCTGGATGAATCTGAATCTGACTGGCATTGCAGTCCAATTCAGTCCAAAGAGTGTGAATGCAACCTACACACTGCTGTCGCCAATGCAAAAAGGGGGGCTTGGCATCCTCGTCCGTTTTCGACTGCCTCCAGGCAGTCTCATCGGGGGAGGGGGCGGGGGG